AATCGAACGATTCCGATCGAAATCCATTTCGAACATTTCCACGATCAAAACCTTACGTACATCCCCCCCCCCCCTCGCGGGGAACGCAAATTGGTAACGATAATTTCAATTTGAGGCCAACACACGGGATAATTTATCGCGCGTTCGCGCTTCAGGTTCGCATCGGCCTGGAATTGAAAGTGCAGTCGGCTATTAGCAAGTCAATCAAATCGGCAATGCTAACGTGAGACTTTTATCGCAGCTACGATAAATTACCGGGGATCAATTCCGCTGTCTCGTTCCGCCGCGGAATTACTTGCGAGTAATTTACAAGTGCCGTGCCGCCGTGCAGGCTCGCTTTTACGACCCTCGCTAGATAAGACCCGAGCACGTTTCGTTGCGTGACCCGTCGTTTTTACGTTCGCGAGAACGCAGCGACTGTGAGCCCCGTCTAAAAGCGTACCGCCGCGATTTGATACCTGCCGCGGATCGGCTTCGCGGGCACGTTGACGCTCTTATCTCGAACACCTGTTGAGCGGACATAAGGTATTTTTAGTGCGAGTCCCACACCTTAGTATAGGCGCGCCGACGTTGCACGTCTTATTGAACACCGCCACTTGTCGGCGGAGCCGCGCGGCGAAAAATCAGGTCACCAGGTGAAAGGACTAATAAGGCTGTCTCGTGTTCGGTTTCACCGGCTTGTTCCGCCAGATTGATCAAAACTATTCGAACGCAGCGAAGAGCGAATGATAAGCGAGCGGACGTAGGCCGGTCGGTTTCGAGCGGTACGATCGGCCTAGCACCGTGAGTCATTCATCTCGCTGAGCTAACACGTTGCTTTTAGTGCTTTATTAGTCCAAAAGACACTCATTAGCATCAGTAACATTGAATTGTGTCGGGTCATCCCGTGAATAATGCAGCACAAAAGGGAGCTCGATTCACTCTTTAGCTCGAGAGACTTCAAGCTCGGTGGAAGTCGCGAATAATAATGGAAAGTATTTGTTTTATCAACAATATTTTTTCCTTTCATTTCGAAAAATATCTTTGAAACGCCGCATCACTTACGGGACGGATATATCGATGTGTCAATTCAATGGTGTGTCCCGGCGCACTCGCGGAAGTCGCAAACGATTAGAGAGACTTTTCGAACCCGCAGATAATAAGAGAAACACGGTAAAATCGCATTTCTTTCCGTTTTAAATTAACTAAAAACGATAAAACGCGCGCTTCGTGCGCGCAGTTTGTCGTCGAGCATTGTATATTTTTAAGAATTTGTATACACGCGAAGAAGTAATTGCATGCGCAACGTCAATTTAAAATAAAAAGTAATTTGTCACTCACTGATAGAGTTCGCAACAGCAAAGTTGTACATCGCTAAGTATATGTGTTAAACTGTAACAATACAAAAATGTATACGATTATTATAGACTAATTATGTAAAATCCAGACTATAATTGTGTTAAATATACTTTATATTTAATAATTTTGAAAATGGATATTTATTAAAACAATTATATAGAATACTGAAAGTCTTCCTTTTAAATATGAACTCACAAAATTTTATACGTATGGTTTTGTCTCTAACACTTATTCGAATCCACGTTCGAATCATTTAAATAAATAAAAGCACAGAACGGATGCTTTATTTTGCACAATTAGCGAATACCAAAAATGTAAGACACCTTACAATTTTTCTGCCATTGCCCGATGCCGCCTAAGCCTGCTCTTCCTCTCAGATTTTCTTGTTGCGCTTACACTCACACACTCACTCGCGAAAATCGATCGCGCGAAATTTCGGACACTCCCGTACGCGATGTAAAATACCGTGAAATGCAGTAAGCGACGTTCTTTACTTCCTGCCCGTTCGAGTCGCGAAGAACGACAGAGCGAATTACAGCGCGAACGCCGAAGTCGCACAAATATCTCTCTCTTCCCGAAAATGGAACAGATTACACGAAATCGATAGATAGTTAAAAGCGCGGTACGTAAACGAGATGTAACCGCGACAACGTACCACGGTTTACTTTCCTATTTTAGATGAGTTAATCTCGTAAAATATCCATGTACACGTTAATAAAGAGCCGTCGCCTCAACGCGCATTCGTTTCTCATTACAAGTTAGAAACTTAATAATTAATCTAGTAGCGTTACTTGTCACTGATAAAGGAGTTCAAATCAATAGCGTTTTAGTCTTACATTCTTCACGATCGAGTCTTGAAAACCGACAACGCAAAAACAATACCACGCACGGAGCGACTCGCGCCACTGCTTGCCGGCTCGACGTTCGGCGAGTGACTGCGCGGCGACCTTGGTATAAACAATAGTCCGCGTGACGTTGTACGATGCCGCGCCGATGGAAAAACAACAAAAAAACGTTGAGAATTCGTTGGCCCATCTACGTAATGGAAAATTCCG